AGACAGACTTTTTTGTCAATGGGCTTACCTAAGTCAATGGGCTTACCTAAGGCAGAATAGCAGATAGTAGGCTGGATGGGGAGTCAGGAAATCCTAAATTCAAATCCTGCCTCAGACCATTACTATCTATGTAACCCTAGGCAAATTACTTAACCTCTCTCAGCCTCAGTTTCCTGATCTGTAAAAAAGGAATTATTAGAGAACCTAGTCTCTCCAGAATTTTGTTAAGATCAAGTGAGATAATATATACAAAGTACTTTCCAAATCTCCAAGTACTGCATAAATGATTATTATATTATATTATGATGATTATATTTTGATTGGAGGAGACAAGGCAGGTAGAATAGTTATGGCAAGGGATGGGCATTTTGGTTCAGGAAGTTACAAGGATGGTAAGCAGATTCTTCCCCTGCAGATGAGAAAATGGAGACTCATAGAGGGGATGGGATTTGCCCGAACTCACTTGGGTAAAAGCAGAGCCAAGATCCAAAGTCATGTTTCCTGGTTCCAAGGCTAATGCTTTTGTCACTACATCACTGTAATAAGTCTGTAGGTTCCCTCCCCTATCCTCTTCAGACCAAGGCAGGTCTAGGCAAGGACCAAAAGGTTCTAGACCCCTACATAACCCTAGGATTTGTATTAACTTCCCCAGAAATTCTAATTTCCTTACAATTCTAAAACTTACTGATGTGTCAGAAATACTGGGAGAAGGCCTAGAAATGCGTTTCTTTATATCTTTGAGACCAGATCTGGATTCCTGAGGTAGCTGCAGTCTGGATTAGGTCATGTATTTTTTTCATTTGGTTGAACTCCTAGGGTAGACCTGAAGGTCCCTGAAGTTACATATACATAATTATGTGTGTGTGTGTGTGTGTGAATATGTGTGTGTGTGTGTGCGTGTGTGTGTGGTGTGATATGTACTACACAGGGTATTGGACTTCACTGGGTTTAAATTCTGCCTCAGGTTCTTATGAGCTATGTGGTCCTGGATCTTCATCACAGCAATCTACCTCACAACACACATGGAGCTGCCTTTGGAAAGGAGTACCCATGAGATATATCTGTTCTCATCTATGTAGCATCACAGAGAAAACAGTATTAGCTTTGGAGAGACAGTGGTGTAACCTGAGAGATGGCAGGGGTGGAGAGAGGATCCACTTGACCAAAAGTGGGAATTTCTGAATCCCAGTGTCTTGGATAAAAAAGGAGAGATTTCCTGAGCAGGCAGTAGTAGTCTCAGGGCTGTCTACTTATCAAACCCAAGTTCCAGAGTTCAGGAATCCAGATTTCCAGAACAGATCCTGGGCAGCACCATCCTCTTAGAGAATCCAACCTTCTAGACAAAAGAGGGGGAGTTCCTGGATTGCATAAGTCTTTTGGAGAAATAAAATCATTCATGTGGCCCTCATATCTGGAGAAGCCACAAGGCACTAAATCCATGACGTGCGGACACAAAACACAGAGACTTTGCCCTCCAAAATTCTCATGAGTTATTTGCAAGGTGAAGGTTCACTGTAAAGTGGGTTTTCTCTTGAGTGACCCCAATTGTCTTTCCCTTCTGGGGAAAAGAGAGAAATCTGTTTGTCAGAGTACTTGACCTTATAAAAGCTTAATAAAACACAATGAATACCCATGGTAGAAGTTAACTTAATGGAAAAGTAGTTGTAGAAGGCAATATATATAGTACTTCACATTTATTTTGCTATGTACAATTGATTCTTCACTTTCTTAATGAAGTAATAATGTACTTAATGTCATTTGCTGAACCTCAAGTGAAGCCTCATTATTTTATCTCCACATTTAACATCTTCTATTCAAGTTCTGAAGTCACATTGAAAAATCCCATGTGTATTAGAAGATGTAATATATATATATATATATATATATATATATATATATATATATATATATATATATACGTATATATTATGTTATGTTATGCTATATTATGTTATGTTATATCATATATGTATTGTGTGTGTATTCTTAGTTTTAACCATTTTGCCATTTAAATTATATTAGGATTTTCCTCTGATGTAAAAAACATAAAGCCTGATGGTTTCTCCATGTCAAAGTATTCAAATTCTAATTCCAATAGATTAGAAAGCTCCTTACATTTGTTAGATTCATTTTCAAAAAGGCTCCATTTGAAGTCCACAGGTACCATTGGGTCAAGTGGCAATAAAAAAAAAAACCAAGGAACCACTCATCTGATAAGGAGCCCATCTTTGCTAGCTGTTCTTCTAGGGTGGTTGGTCAGCTGTTTGTACTCCTCACTGTGGTTGGCCACTGCAATACACCAGGTTACATTGCAGCAAGTCCTGGAAGTATTTTTCTTACTACCTCGTCCTATAGTATAGTGTAAAGAGTGCTAGATTTGGAGTTAAGATCTGGGTTCAAATCCTGCCTCTACCATATACTATCTATGTGACCTTGGACATGTCTCTTTACATCACTGGGTCTCACTCCCTCATCTGTGAAATGAAAGTATTAGCCTAGATGACTTCTTTCTTTCAATTTCTTCTCAAGTACATGAAAAAACAATTTTTAACATTTTTTTAAAAATTTTGAGCTCCAAATTCTCTTTCTCACCCCCTCCCACCCCACCTCCTTGAGAAAACAAGCAATTTGATATAGGTTATACATGTACAGTTATTCAAAGCATATTTCATATTAGCCATGTTACAAAAGAAAACACTGAAAAAAAAAACAAGAAAAATAAAGTTGTGTGTGTTTTTTTTTAAAAAAGCATGCTTTGATCTACTCTCAGACTCCATCAGTTCTTTCTCTGGGGGTGGGTAATATTTTTCATCATAAGTCCCTCAGAATTGTTTTGGACCATTGCATTGCTGAGAATAGCTAAGCCATTCATAGTTGATCATTATGCAATATTGCTGTTATTGAATACAACCAGTTTTCCTGGTTCTGCTCACTTCACTTTGCATCAGTTCATATAAGTCTTCCCAGGCTTTTCTGAAACCATCTTGCTCTTTTGTTAGAGCATAATAGCATTCCATCACAATTATATACCACAACTTGTCAACCATTCTCCAACTGATGAGTGCCCCTTCAATTTCCAATTCTTTGCCACCACTAAAAAAAAACCTGCTGTAAATTTTTTATACATATATGTCGTCTTCCTTTTTCTTCACTCTCTTTGAGATACAGACATAGTTGTGGTATTGCTGAAGGGTCAAAGGGTATGCATGATTTTATAGCACTTTGGACACAGCTACAAATTCCTCTCCAGAATGGTTGGATCAGTTCACAACTCCACCAACAATGCATTAGTATTCCAATTTTTCCACATTCCTCTCCAATATTTGTCATTTTCGCCAAAACTAGATGACTTCTAAGGTCTCTTTCCACTCCAAATCTATGAACCTCACAATAAATGCAGTCAATTGATAAACCAGTATACACACAGCACCTCCCTAGTATCTATTCCTGTGCTAGCTATGGGAGATACAAAGATGGACAAGACCTGGTCTCTGACCTCCAGAGTTAACAATGTAGTTCAGGAGGAAAGTGTAACACACATGAGAATCCAGAGAACAGGAGAAGACAGTAGAGAACTAATGCTAAACTATGTGGGACAGTTTGTAAATGTTATGGGAGTTCAGAGAGGAGCAGAGCAATGTGGGTTTTGGAAAGCAGAAAAGACTTCTTGGAGATGGTGGGACCTGAGCTGGCCTTGAAGGATGCTCACACTTTGAGTTGACAGAGAGAGGGAAGCACATTGGAAGTGGAATGGATAGTGTGAGTCACTGTACCCTTTAGAGCACTAAGAAACGAGGCTGTAACCACTTGGAGCTACAGGGGCTATTGCTCCATTGAGGAATGCCAAGGTCTAAGCCTTAAATTCCCTATTCTGAGTTTTTGCATTGGTACTTTACCATGACTATTTCTGGTGGCCCACTGGTATAAAATTCCTGTCTATCAGCTAGCTGAGGTCATGTCCCTTCTGCTTAACTTTTCTCATCTATGCAAACCTCCACCAAAGTCCTATTCTGAATTTTATTATAGCAAGTAGGGTATTCTGGATTCTCAAAGGCTGTTTCAGCAGAACACAAACTGCCAAACTGGAAACAATCTGAGCATGGATGGGCCCCGTATGGTTGTTGTTGGATGGTAGTCCTCATTTAATTTGGAAAGCCAAATCACAATCAATCAATCAGTCAATCAATAAACATTTGTTAAGCTCCCATTATGCGTATAGGCGCTGTACTAAGCACCGGGGATACAAAAAGAGGCAAAAGACAGTTCCTGTCCTCGAGGAGCTTACAATCTAATGGGCAAGGCAATATGCACACAAATATATACAAAGCAAGCTACATGCAAGATAAATAGGAAATAATTAACAGAGGGAAGATTCTGGACTTAAGACAGGTTGTGGAAAGCTTCCTATAGAAGGTAGAGTTTTAGTTAGGACTTAAAGGACGCCAAGGAATTCAGTAATCATAGTGGATGGAGGAGGGAGGGCGCTCCAGGCATGGAGCACAGCCAGAGAAAATGCCAAGGGCCAACAAATGGAGTATCTTCTTTGTGAAATGGCCAAGAGGCCAGTGTCAGTGGATCAAAGAGTACGTATGGGGAAATAAGGTTTGAGAAGAAGACTGGTAAAGTAGGAGGGGGCAAGGTTCTGAAAGGCTTTGAAAATGAAACAGGTCATTTTGTATTTGCTCCTGGAGGCAATAGGAAGTTACTAGAGTTTATTGAGTAGGCAGCAAGGGGGAGGGTAGTGACATGATTGGACCTACTCTTTAGGAAAGTCACTCAGGGCAGGAAAGGAGTGGAGAGAGACTTGAGGCAGGCAAACCCTTTGTCTTGCAATAATCCAGATGTAAGCTGATGAGGGCCTGCACCAGAATGGTGGCAGTGTCAGAGGAGAGAAGGCATATTTGAGATAGATTGCAAGGGTGAAATTGACAGGCCTTTGCAGCAAGCAATTATTTTATGTGTTTGTTTGTTCATTCATTCATTCATTATTTTTGTTACAGCAACTCATGAAGAAAGGCCTGTATCAATGGAGAGAATATCCACACTGAAGAAATGAGTATTGAAAGTAGCTCCTCCACATCTGACATTGCTGAATTAAAATAAATGCTTGTGCAATATACCAAAAATAAATAAATAAATAAAAGACTGGGACACTATGGCAAGTAATGTCCTGACAATACTGAAACTCTCTATCATTCAGTCATGGAAGAAATAGGACCAGGACACAAAAGTCAAAGAATGGTGGTTATGTCAGGCCATTTTGCTAAGGAGCACATTCTTTGTCATTTCTCTACTCTCTGTCTTTGATTTGGTTTTTATCTGCATGTGGGCTGAGTCCTTTGCACTTCTAGCATTGTTGGAAGAGATTGGGTGATTTCAAAAAAATTGTTTTGTTGAAAATCATCTTGAACATCAATGTAACCACCTATACTTGTTTAGTAACTATTTACAACTGAATTAATTAGTACAGTGGAAAGAATACTGACTCGTGAATCCGGAAACCCTGAGTTCAAATCTGCCTCAGACACTTAATAGCTGTATTACCCGAGACTTGATCTCTGAACCCACTTCTTCATTTATAAAATGAGGGCCTTGGATGAGAGAGTCTTTGAGGTCCCTTCCAACTCTAGATTTGTGATCCTATGATTGAATGCATAGAATATCATGACTTTTTCTATGTCTATAATTATTAAAGTATTATGTCCGTAATTACCTATCAACCAACTACTCCCTTCTCCCTCCACCACCTTCAAATAAAAGCACTCCTTTATATAACAACTAGGTATAATTAGGCTAAAAAGTGAGCACATTAGCCATGTCTGAGAGTGCATGTTTTGTTCTAACTGTACATGTGCTTTAACACAGTGACACGGTGATTAGGCATGTATACCAAGAAGGTCAAGGGCAGGGGCAAAGGAACTATATAGATACACAAATACTATAATAGCATTTTTTGTTGTAAAAAACAAACAAACCCCAAAACTGGAAACAAGTGTCCATTAATTGTGGGCTGACTGAACAATTTGTGGTTTATTAATATAGTGTGTTGTGTTATTTTTAAAAGCTCATTTTCAATGCTTTATCGGTCTCCCAATTTCCATTTGAAGAAAAGAAAAAGGAGGGAGCAGGGAAATTGTGATGTGTAATAAGCATATGATTAGGTCAACTAATATAAGCAGTAAAATCAAGCCATTTCTTTAGGATTTGCACATGTAATCCAAGAACAGAGAAGTAGCCATCTCTTTACCAAAAATAAATATTTCAAACTAGTGCCTACTAGACTATACATTTCAAAGAAAAGAGCCCTCATGTATTTCTTTACTGTTGGGTGACAATTGATCTCAGATCTCCAGATGGCTGGAGCAATATGATCTCCATCTGGCATGTAAGGGAGAAGATTCAATTTTTGAAAAAACCTCAGATGGATTTATCCCTCTCCCGGGCTTTATTGGGGGGGGGGCAGGAGAGGAAAGTTAAGAATGGTTGGGGAAGGGAGGGAGGATAAAGAGAGGAAATGGAAAAAAAGTCATTTATTGAGTCTCACAATAACCGGTTATAGCTAATAATACTATAATAATAATAATATTCTTGACAAGTGTGTTCATTTAAGTACCATACTATAAGTACTTATCAAAAGTTAAAATACAATTCCACCAGAACTTTTCCTGATTTCCCCCAACTATAACTGCTTCTTCCACCACCTATTTCTCTGTATGTCATTTGTTTCACTTATCTATCTATAATTTATCTCCCTGGAGTAGAATATAAGCTCCTTAGGTTCAGAGACTTTTCACTTATGTCTGTATTCTCAGCACCTAACACAATGCTAGCCATGGCAGAAGCTTAATAAATGTCTTTTAAATTGAATTAAATTGAAATTTGGACCCAGCCTTTGCTGTATTCAGTAATGGTGCTAAATCCTCTCACTCATGGATTAAACATAGGGGTGGGGAAACTGCAGCCTGGAGGCCACATGTCCTCTAGGTCCTCAAGCGAGAACCTTTGACTGAATCCAAACTTCAGACCCTTTGACTGAATCCAAACTTCGCAGAACAAATAAAACTTGAACTCAGTTAAAAGACCACACCCAAAGATCTAGAAGGCCACATGTAGCCTCCAGGCCATAAGTTCCCCAGCCCTGAATTAAAGAAACACCTTCCTTCCCTTCTTGGCCCAACTCATCTCTTGATTTATATGCCCAGGTCCAGGCATTTTAGTTGCACAGGCTTCAGACACTTCAGAAACTAAGACAAAGGCAGCATCATCCTCAGAAGCTTTACCCAGCCACCCCCCTCCCTCACTGGAAAACCAAGAACTGGCTTTAGTCACAGGTTACTCTGGATAGCAGGATCTGTGAGCTACCAAAGTGAATCACCCAAGGGAAAACAGAAGTTTGAACATAAGGTAAATGAAGTGGAAAGAGAAAACCACTGAACCAAACACATTATTCACCACTAGAAGGGTCATTAAAGAAACAAAAGCAGTTTTCAACCATGTCATCAGGGAGGGGAGGAGGAAAATGTAATACTTTGATTGGAAAACTGCCTGTAGGTTCTTTAAGTCAGAATAGATGAAAAGAGGGGAGAAAAAAATGCCTTGCATACGTGCCTGTAAGGGAATATATGAGCGCACCTATATATTTACATTTAGCTGTATACTTTTAGATCAAGGCAAACATAAAATGAACACCATGTAAACTACCCTAAATTAACTTAGATAAAAGCCCATGCTGTCAAGGCATAGGCTTAAAGGAAGTGTCCACCACATCTCATCATGGCAACTCTACACTGTGTGTGGGGGGGTGCGTTTTAACACATTTTGTCTCTTCCTACCATCTAAAAAGATGCTGGGCCATGGCCATTGTTAGCCTGGGAGTTGTATGGTCTATAAAGCTTTCTCCTGGTTCCTGTCAAAATTTCAAGGGTGAATCTCATTTTTTTCTTATGACATTATTTTTCTTCTGAATTATTCAATCCTCCTCCAAAAGAAAATGGCTTTGTTAAATCTCTGCCAATAAATACGCATATACATATGTATGTATGTATCAAAATACATATACACATGGAGAGAGGAAGGAGGAGAGAGAAAAAGAAAGAAGCGAAATGATGGGAAAAGAGAGGCAGAAGAGAAAAAACAGAGAAGAAGAGAGAAAAAGACAGAAATTTGTAGAATAAGAAGGGATTGTAGAGATTACCTAATCCAATCTCCTTTTTATGTGGGTCTAGAGATAGAGCTAAATCAACAGGCTGCAGTGGCTTACCCAAAGTCACACAGAAAGTTAATGGTATAGGAGCATAGATTTAGAGTTACATTGAACTTCATTCACCACCCTCTTATTTTTCATATAAGAAAACTGAGCTCCAGAGGAGTTATTTACCCAAGATAATTCAGCTGCCATTTTAACCTGAAAGTAAAGGAACACTACATTTAAAATGATTCCCATCTACCACATCCCCAACAAGAAATTTTAAAAAAAAATTAATGCTTTTTAATGACACAATATAATCAGTAATCAATAAATATTTAGATCTGTCATTTGTCTGGCTAGTCTATTTCCTCCTTTCATGCTTTATTATTACCTTCTGTCTCTTATTCTCCACAACACTTAATAATTTCCATCATTGTCACTCTCCTCATGATCTTCAACTTCTTCCTCAATTTTCTTGTTTCCACTAGTCTTAGCTTCTTTGAATAAAGAAATTATCTTCAGTTCCTCCCACCAACTATGATATAAATCATCCTTTTAATAACTTTTAACTACAACTGGTAGATTTATCCAAGTCCATGTTACTACTATAGTGCAATAACAAACCAGTTACCTTATTTCACCACTAGATGGTGCACAAGTGTGACTTTCTGGCAACCTCACTTTGAAAGAGAAATTATTTGAATGAAAACTATGTTCCTTAGGTATGTGGGTGCAGGCCTTATTATTGGGTGTGGGGTGTGAAACTAGACCTGTTACTTCATTGGAACTCCCTCTAACGATGTATTTGGAGATGCCCTCCACAATTTGTATCCTTTAGTTTGTGAATGCCTAAGAGACATCACTAAAAGGTTAAGTGACATATGGCTATCAGGTGCCAGAAGCAATACTTAAACCCAGGTCTTCAAGAGCAGGTCTTCCTGTTCTTTATACAACACTATTCTGAGAATTGCAAGTATCATTATCAAGCTAATTCTCAGATGAGGAAACTGAGTCTCAGAGAAACAAAGTAACTTGTCCAGGGTCATTCAACCAGTAAGAGTTAGAACCAGTACTTGAACTCAAGTCTCCTGACTCCAAGAAAAGGCTCTAAAATATTATCTCAGTATCCTGACTCCAAGTTTAGCTGCATTACCACTTCTTCCCTTCATTATAAAAACCCTAAGCACATAACTGTGTAATGCTAATTCTTGTCTGAATTCTGGACAGTTAGAAGATGCTAAAAACTCCATGAAGAAAGGGTCCAAGGGGCAGCTAGATGGCACATTTACTAGCTGTGTGACCCTGGGCAAGTCACTTAACCCCCAATTGCCTAAAGAAAAAAAAATGGGGGTCCAAAAGTGAACTGGATGATTAGGACAAAGACTTTAAACCACTAATTGTTGACAGATACGGTAGAACAGCAAAGACTGGGATGCCAAATGGAAGACAAGAAGGAGAGCTGATGGACAGAAATGTCAGGCAAGCTTCTTGCTGTTCAATCGTGTTCTTCATGACCCCATTGTGGGGTTTTCTTGGCAAAGGTATTGGATTGGTTTGCCATTTCCTTCTCCAGCTCATTGTACAGAGGAGAAAACTGAGGCAAAAAGGGTTAAGTGACTTGCCCAGCATCACACAGCTAGAAAGTGTCTGAAGCCAGATTTGAACCTTGAACTCATGAAGATGAGTCTTCCCAATTTGAAGCCCAGTGCCCTATCCACTGCACCACCTAGCTGCCAGTCAGGTGAGCATATAGCAACACATAGAGCAGGACTTCCAAGATGCAAGCAAATATTACTCCTAGATTGGGAGCAAAGACGGGATCAGCTTACTTGTATGAGTGAATCACTTTGATGATCAAGAGAAAACTACCCATAAATTATTTATTTGTCTTTTTCTCAACTTGAGATGTGCATGTCTATAATACAGCCTTTTCGCATGTCCTTCACTGAGGTGTG